CCTCTTCGATAAGCTGATAAATCTCCAGTAGGACTCCATCTCTCTTAGCCTCGATCGCCTTTTCCAGCGCGATCTTACGACAAAAAAAAAAAAAGTTTATTACTCGACAAGTATCAGCCGTTAAACTGAGTTCATTAATAAGGGTAAAACTATGCAATACATAATGACTCGCGAAGCATACGTTATAATCAGTGAAAAAAATTTTTACATTATATTTTAGCAGCGAATTTTTTTTTATATCTTTAAGATTGTTCGCAAAGAGCCAATAATACGGATGTAAAAAAAAATTTCAATTTACTACTAATTTAAATTGTGTATTTTTAAATTTATCAACAATTTAAATTTGCTTTAGATTTGATTTAGATTTATATTCTACTAAAACTTTCTTCTCAACTGTGATGAAAAATCTTAATTGAATTTGCCATTCATCGAGATTAGAATTAATGCATAGAGTGCATAGATAGAGGGAAATACTGATATACACGAGTAGAGATAACGTTAGAAGATAATGTATTATCATTTGCTGAACTCAAGATTATAGAAATATCTATATATGGGACAGCCGGCTGTTTGTCGAATATATTCTTGGATGCTGTGCAACTTTATGTGTCAGGCTTGATGATGCCAGGGAAACACTAATCTCAAAAGCATCGGTGGCAGTGGTAAATCGTATCGCAACTAAAGTACAATAAAATTAAGACGTACTGCAGAAACAAGAGGAACGAGTTTCCCGCTGCGAGATTCGTGGAGACGATAATACATATGTGTGCGAAGAATTCTTTAGAATGTGCCTTCAAGAGAGATATGTCGAAATAACATTTTAGTTGTATCTCAAGCGCATATCTCTCTCTCTCTCTCTATCTCTTTGAAATTTAAACCTTAATTTACAAATAATAACTATTCAATATCTTTTTTGAAATTTTCAATGAATTATTCAAAGCGCCATTCTTTAGATTCTCGAAGCGACAAATAATACGAATAATAGTATTTGCCGATAGAAATATGCTAATTGTAATAAAAAAAAAATAAATAACAAGTTTTGTAACGTTTTGTAAACGTAATAAATACAATTTAACATTAAAAAGAACGAGATAAGCAACATTCTTTAGAAGTAAAATTCCTTCGGGAAGTCAAATGTTAATTAAACGCAAACGCATAAAGAGTTTTAAAAATAGCATTCCAATTACGCGTTTTTACGCGTTTTAAATAAAGTTCCCCTTCTTAATCTCTTAAGACGCGAATTTTTTGCCTTCCACAAAAGTACGATGAACGCGAGATGACTAAATTCTTGCCTGGATCGTTGATCCAAGAGCAATGTCCGTTTTTCTAATCTTCGGAGCTCATTCCGCCGATCACTTCGCGGAAAGGAATTCCGCGTCGTGTAGAACGCGCGATTGGTTATTCCAACAGCGTTTCCATCAATCCGACACGGTGTACGAACACTGAAATAAATCCAGAGAGAACATGACGCAGCGTCCGTCGTGCGATCCAGGAAATATCAACTCTCCCGAGACGAATAGCGAGATGGTGTAAGAACACAATGGGCAATATAAAACAGAGTGCTCCAGAGCTGTCGGCGTCGCCTTTATCTATGAATTTCTCGGCCAATGTCGTAGATCTCTCCTCAGCAGAAATATACGACACGCGCGTGAGCAGTTGTAATAAATTAAAAATTGAAAGATCAAGAAATCGGAGCAAATCATCATTTTAAACGAGAACAATAAGAATATAACAAATATAATAAAAATAATAAATATAAATATAAACAAAAATAATCAATATAATAGATAAAATATAGATAAAGAAATTAAAATATACAATAATAAAATATTTATTGTGTAATTGAATATTTATTTAGGAAACCTCGATCATAAATCGATAGCGACAATGCGATCGAAAAAAAAAAAAAAAAAAAAAATTATTGAAATTATTCTGAAATAGAAAATACGACACGGAAAATACGAATTAATATTGTCAAGTGTTGACAATTCCATTTATCTTTTCAAGATATTCTTGCGACGAGTTCCTTACGACTTTTATTTCTTGCGTTTGCTGTTTCAAGGGGTAAGTGTCCAGCAGAATTGTTCGTCGACGTTTTTCCCATGGTGCACGGTAGATTAACTTGGTCGACGAGGCGCTCGAAAATCATTGCCGGTCCGCGGACACGATACTTTTACTTACAAATTGGTATTTTATCGGTGTTAGTAATAGAATGCCTCCCATCGCGACGTCACGTCAACGTGCGATCGCGTGAGAAAGTCGCGAATGAAGTAAAACTGATGGCTGATGGTTAGATGAAAATGATTGCACCTTCTATGCCTTAATGGAAATCTGTTGAAATTTTCGCAAGAATTTTCGCAAGAATCGTTAAACTTGATTAAGCACCATTACTATGGAAATTAATATCAGATGTTTGCAAAATATTATTCATCTAGAGTGTTATTACATCTCTTATTAATATATATTACAAAAGTTACGTATATTGCGATATTTATTTATTTTAATTAATATTAAAGATTAGATTATTGATTATTAAAAACAGAAGACATCTATAGTATTTTTTTTAATTAAATTAAAACAAAATGTGGAAACAAAGAAATGGATAACAATAAAAAAAAAAAAAAATTACTCTCGAATTGAGAAAAATGTGCGATGCTGGCAACCGATAAAAAAAATCGATAAAGTATCGCGATATGCAATATTAATGATCAAAAATATTGAATCACACACGTTGAAATATATCTTTATTTTTCTTTCCGTCGAGATTTTAATCAGCTGATCGATGTCGATATTCAGACGATATCCTATTTCCGAGAGTTGTCTCGCAAATTCATCATCGGCGTAATATTTCCAAAACTTTTTCCGCTTAAAATCGCTTCACGTATATTACCTCGTGGGTAAATATACGGTAGCCACCACGGGAAATATCATTGCGCTCCCGGTTATCGATATCAATATTTATATACATTCGCGTTCCGCGGAACACGAATGCTAAATCCCGCGATACGTTATCGGTGCGGCGAGCCTCCGTATCGCATCGTGTACGCGCGCCGTGCATTATTGCGGTTCAACCATTTCCCGCACGTTATGCACGTATCTCGCATCATTTAATATTAAACGACGCTTTGTTCGCTTATCTGCCCGCCGTCGATCGGATAATAGATTACATCGGAGCTACGCCGGCGCGGAAACATCTTAATTTCCTATCACTGCGCAATTCGGCGCAACGCCGTACGCTCGATGTCGGCGCTGATAAATCGTTATTTGTCATCGTCTTAAGGTATCGAAATAATTCTTACGTTTCGACGAAACGATACACAGGAGAAAATACCTTATTATAATTCATATACTAGACGTTACAAACGCGCGCTGCTATTTATCTTTTTCAACACAAGAGAGAAAAATTAATATAATACTATTATAACATTTTTAACTTCTTGATACACAATTGTCAAAACGATCCTCTGTGAGATCGATACAATGACAGAAGTATTCACGAAGTTAGCGCAGCGAGAGAACCAATCGGCATCGCGGAAAAGCGGCAACAATAATTTCGAGAGATGCGAGGTATCGATGTATCATGCCTTTTTTTTAAGAAAGAAAAATATAAATTCCGCTGAACGACAAGCCGGAGATGCTTAACAGATATCGAATTGCGCAAAGAAATGTGTAATATGTCTAATTAAATGTATGTAGGTATACCGTGACTGAATGATATTTCGAAAACAAGACAATCCTGGGAATTTCAAGCCCGAAGGAAACGGTGGTGAGAGTTTTTCATGTTGCAACAAGGTCGCGCAAGGCACGTGACTAACTTTCATTTTTTTCGTATAGATAATTTTTTAAATGTATACGTAAAGACGCATCGCATATCTATATCTGCAAGTAGCGAAACGTAAAACGTGATTTTTTTTTTCTTTCACGAATATCTTTTCCCTTACGTCATGTCCGCAGGCGAGAAACGTTTTCGTTGGGCGGCACACAACTTGGCGTTTCTAATGCCGAGAGGCGTGAAACCGGCGAGTTTGTCATCACGAGCCAAAAATATATTTACGTGATGGCATGGATTTAGAGAGCCTCTCTCTTTTCCCCTATCGAGGGGGAGAAAAAAATTTCCTCGGGCCACGTGGGAGTCGGACAGGCGCATTGTGCGTCCGGATCTCACGAATGGTTTATAAGGCAGGTTTTCTCACGCCGCGCGAGCGATCTTGAAAGTAATATTATGCTGTGCGCTTTTCGATTTAGGTAAGGTAGCCGGGTCACGATCCGGGGATAATGGCGGTGCGGCTGATTAGATTAGATAGAGAAACGTAGCCCGCCTTATCGGCAATCGGAATAACGTCTAACGAGATAAAAAACTCCTCCTGTCGATACAATGATGAATAGATTTGAATAGATTACCAAGTTTTCAGAAGACTTTCAAATTATTTACGGCTATGACAACGTAGTTTCCTCTTTTTGCTATTCTTGCCGTTAATCTTTACTGATAAATTTATCCTATTCCTTAATCTTTTTTTAACGTAATAAAAAACGGGACAAAAAATTCTGAAAAATATCGGACCGTCAATATTATTGCCATATACAATAAAGATTTGATTTAATAATTGATGTTCTCAATTTGTTTGATCATTTTCATGGTGGTTTATCAAAAATATCTATAGATTTCATGTTTTTTTTTGAAATTAATTTAACTGTTATTTGTTATCTTTTATTTATTTTTAGTTATTTTTTTTATTTTTATTAATTTGTGACCGACATCGGATTTATTCTTTTTATTACATTCTACCTTCTCTTGACATATCAATTATTGGAACTTTTTTCTAGGGGGAGAGAGAGCTATTAATTTGTAAATAATCGTAAAAATAAAGAAAAATATATGAACATCTTTAAACATCGATTCATATTATGATGCAACTTTTCTCTCTGTAAAGCCCCCGTTTGAACAAAGGCGTCGCCTGGAAAAATTCATAATGCATAATCATGGACGAAGGTTCACTCACCTTATGATTTCGTGGTGTCCTCGAGAGATTGCTGCGTCCGTTGATGAGAACATTGTCGTTGAGAAACGACACGTCGCAGGGTGACGGTGGACCCCCGGAGATTTCCCACTCGGAATCGTCGGTCGTAGATGCGTCTAAAGTAGCGTCGAGCACTATAATGCCACCATCGCCGACCTGTAACGAAAACCGGTAATGATAATAGAATATGACGAATTTCGAGAAAAAGTATGTTCTCGCGAGAGAACATCGCGATGACTAAGGGAAAGTAAGCGACATATATAATGATGATCTGAAATATGTGGCTTACAACATATTTATATTTTCTCTTCGCGTTACATTTTAAAGAATTCGAAAATTTAGAAAATTATGATATAATCGAACATAATTCCTCCTTTCTTCAGAAACATATGAAAAAAATAATTTCAAAACAAACGGAAACATCCATTCCATTAATAATTATTTTGAAATGTAAACTTTGCTTATTAAAAAATTATTCACTGCTAATGTTCAGCTTTATATCTCTGTTTTTAAATTGAAATCTATCTCCTAAATGCATATTTATATAAAAAATTTATCTGCGATTAAGGCCTGCGATTTTTCAAATCAGTACGTCACTTTAGACATTACATTCGGCAAAAGCAAATGAGTATATACACAAAACGCTATATCATCGTCATCGTCGTCGGGATAGAGTGTTTTCTTATTTGTTCAATTCTCAACTTAATGAGAATTTAAAGGAAATTTCACTAGGACGGTCTCGTTATCTTGAAACGATTTTTGGTGTAAATAGAATTGTGAATAGAATTTTGTTGTGTTATTTGCGTAAAGTTGACCTTTTCGCGTAAATCTCTTCTACTTGCAAATCCTAACATTCCGACAGAAAAGAATATTAGATTCGAGCGTAAATAAGTGCACGTACAAATACGCAATCCTCTAAAGAAACTCCCGCGGCGATTTGGGAAAGTTGTTTCCGCGTGAAAATATGAGGGTCTGCACGAAAAAACGCACCTTTTCCTAACCTACATTTAAAATTAACATACGCGAGACTGGCAACGACTAATTTACAGTTTGCGTGTATTGGAGCAACTTCGTCAGGCTTTCGCTCATGAGAATTAAACGGTGATATCCGTTTGTTGATTTGATCTTCTTTAATATTTTTAAAGATTATTACTTGAAATTTCTTGTAAAAGCTGTAGAGAGTCTGTTTTTAAATATATTATAATATAATTTGTTAAATATATGCAAAATAAAATATTCCTTAATCAAACGGAACTTTTGGACATTTCGACAAGTTATTTTGTGTGTGATTCGATTAATTTTTTTTTTTCTAAAATTGTAATTATTTTCCAAGTTAAATATATTTTCAAACTTGTTGTCAGAAAGATGTCATATGTATCTGATCTCTTATGTATTAATGTTATACGTTACGAGGTTCATCGAAGATAACACAAAATATAATTTTAATAACGTGATTATAAAGACACAAGAAATTGCAAGATAAAATTAAAAAAATATACAGATACTGGAGATGTATCTTTCCTTCACTTCTTGGAAACAAGGATCGCGAAATGAAGAAAATATTCAAGTCGACACGATCCACATCTCCCCACGTTGCATTTTATTTATTTTACTAGTGAAAAGAATAACGAAGAACTCGTTTTTAACTGAGCATGAAACGTGTCATCACGGTCAAAAAAGACGAAATTTTTCGAAAAGTATTTTCGTTGCATGCGCAATCGAGCGGAGTAAATTACAGTCTGCGACTCTCGCGACGTTCCCTCCGCGTACAATCGCAAATTACCCCCGAAGCGATCTTCGGGGGTGAGGGTGAGGGGGGGGGGAGGGAGGGGATGGGCGAAAGGAAGCCTATCTTGCGGCGTTATTTTTCTCCTTTTGTTAACAATGGAAATATGTTAACTGCGGACGATTCGATCGTGCTTTCGAACGTGCCGTGACGACGGTTACATTCAGGCGAGACGTCAGTCGGTCATTACGGTTACCGCCTTTCAAGACTCTTGTGAATGGGACATCCTGCCGAGTCGAAGAAAAGAGGGAAACACGAAACGTGAGTGATACAAGGTAATATGGATAAACACTCGAGCCGCCCTTCGAGGGAGGGCCCGCTCCCGCTCCCCCGCTCCCTCCCCCCCCTCCTTCTCTTCTCACTCTCTTCGGCCACAAGTGGACTCTCTCGCGAAACAGGATATACGAAACGTCATAACGTCATCGCGAACCTTAGAATTATCCGACATCTGTCGCGAACACGTGTGTTTCATTCCTCGACGTGACGTCAACATTTATTTTCGCTCAAGCGAAATAGCGCATATTATCCCCATATTATTCCCAAATATTAAAACCGCGATAATAACGATATATGGATTAATAAAATATTGTATATATTAGCAAACATCTCTCCTCTCTCTCTCTCTCTCTCTCTCTCTTACGAGAAATATACTTTTCAAGTGCAAATATTTAACAAAAAAATTATTTATACCTGCCAGTGATGTTGATATAATGGTAATCGATTTCCGGACAGTATGTCAAGATGTCGTATCGTACCGCATGTAATTTTAGTTATTATATTAGCGTACACGTATCCCGCTACCCTCAACATTATCGCCTTTACATGTTTTTGCGACGATATATAATAAATAATATTCCTGCGCGAAACTTTCAGTAAATTCCACGTTCACGCAGCGGAGATCCGCGTGTGAAATCGAGTGGCCTTACATCGGCGGGACGACCGATTTCCGGTCTACTTCCGGCGATCGCCGCAGGGGAATCGCCCGGCGATCGGCGATTTTCGAAAGTGATATTTTTTTTATGATGATCTTTCTCGCTGCCTCCTCTCCTCCTCCGTGTCGCGCGACGATTTGGGTTGAACGTTCGTTAATCCAGAGAAAAATGCGGTCACGGTTCATAAGACGCAGCCGCATTACGGACGAGCAACGATCGAGGCCGAGCAACATAATATCTGTATTTGAATATAAAACGTGGCGTGCCGATACCATGTGCCGGTGAAACGAGATGAGCGAACAAATATGTCGCGATTCCGTGTCGGCGGTCTATTCATTTTCATGTCCGATACGCAAAATCTATAATTTACGGAAGCCCTAGATAATGTTCACATTGTATCTGTGTAAGTAAAACGTTCCAGAAGTTACTTTCTCCGGAATATAGAAATCTTCAAACAACAAGAAAGTATCTACTAATTGTAAAAGTTGTGAAAATTGACAGTTAAATAAATTTGGCTGAATAAATTTTAAATATAATTAAATTTTACGAGTAAATTTTTTTAACTAAATTCAGGCGTATAAATGACAATTTTATTCGCATCTATCTGTCAATTGAATTTTATTTTTAAAAGTATTCTAATTTATTTGTGGTTTTATCCAGAAAGAATTTAATTTCAAAGTTTAAAATGTTAAGAACCTAAGATCATCGAGTGTTCATCAAAGGATATGTCGGTCGAGGGAAAGTGCCACGACGCTTCCGAGATATTTTACATTTTATGAAATCATATTTATATTATATTCCAATCCATCTTATTAAATTTATTAATAAATTTGCAATATCAATAATTACTACAGCATAATGAAATAAAATATAAAATAATCACATCACATATTAATATATCTATCATACATATTCGTATAATTTGGTGAGCTGCGCGCGAGGAAGAGATTCATTAACCTAGACGTAAACTTTCTATCTGCACGTTAGATCAGTAGATTTCAGATTAGTGATAGTTCGTGATTGATTACTAACGGGGGTAGGCGGGGGGGCGGGGCGGGGGGGGGGGGAGGTGGCAGCGCGCCACGAATTCTCGGTCCCAAGTAGTACCGGCTTAAACCTTGACCGCGGATTAAATGGTTAGGTCCGGGTAATTTTCCGAATTTACCGGACAGGGCCTAGATCGCTAACTGCCGCGGATTAATGTGTCGGATTCATTACGCAGGCAATTTCAGCGGGTATATAAAGTATCGTGAGAAAAAGGTGTGAAGTCGCCGCGTCTAGCGTATAATCTCGTATTACGCTCAGGCAAAATGGGCGGATTAAATCTGACAAGTTGGCATTAACGGTTAACGCGGAACGACGGCTTAAGTAAGTTGTCGATCGCGCGTGGTAGTTATTAGCCTTATTAGCCTCGGTCGCAACAATGCTCTTCGCGGATTGAAACGTATTATCCGCTTATCGATCGAAAACCGCGGCCGCGGTGACGTTAACGTTACTTCACATATTTACCCGTAATTATGCTCACATGTGCACGACGCCGTGTCGCGGGCAGGCAGGAACTGGACGAGTTTTTTTTATAGAAAAGAATAACGCTCGGCTCGAATAAAATACTCGACTTTACGCAAGGTCGATAAACTGGATAAAGGCTATTTTGCAGATACAGGTCCGGAAGTAACAGGTCCGGAAGTACAGACCAAAAAAGTGTAGACGCACACATTTTGACGTATATTATTTATACAGCTTATATTATAACGACGAGATACAACATGCGATTTTACTCGTCGGTCTGTTAAAATTGATAATTGAAACGGTAATTGTGTGATAATTAACTGTAACTCTGCTTTTCGGTATAAAAATTCTTTTTCCTTCTTTCTTCATCTCACATTTATTTCCTTATATTTTCTGAAACGATTGTTCGATAAAAAATTATCGCTCGCCCGTCAAGCAAGTGATTTCAACCGTTTTTCCAACATCTCAAATATTTAATCGTGGAAAAACTATACGTAATACGCAATCGGTTATGAATATTTGGTACGACCGGGGGGTTGTCCTGGGAGGACAACGTGGACGGATGAAATGAATCCAAACGGGACGCCGGTTTAAAGAGACATCGGAGAAGAGTGCATATCAATAAAGGAGGGAAGTTGCGGCAATGAACCTGGGGACGCGGTCCCTGACTCCATGAGAAACTCTCAGGACGGTTCTTTCCATTATTCCGGCCGCAGTGAGGTAGTATCACTCCCGCAGGTGGACCTTGAACCTACGAGGAGAGACAGATCGCAGGTTGTCGCCTGACGACGGTCGCATGCAAACCGCACGCACTCCTCGCAAGAGCGTGCCTTATAACGCACGCGTTATTACGCTCGCACGTGCAGCGAGCGGATCGACGCGTAAACATCCTCCCGGGACACGGAGGATGTTAATATATTTGCGATATA